CCCCCCCCCCCCCCGTAATATATCAAACTCTTTGTCTGGTCTCCGTGGCTGTGGCGGAGTCCCTGGTCGGTGGCAGAGGTGGCTGTGGGTGTGACAGGGGTTACAGTGGCGGCCACTGCCAAGGACACGAGTGACCGTCTGTCTCCGGGCTGTAGTTGGCGGGAAATCTGGGGGCAGAATGGTCCGTGCTCTCAGACGGCGCCTCCCCGCTGCCTCCCCTCACCCCCAGCCACATTTCCATACGGGATACTCGTTTGATATATATATATATATATATATATATATTTTTTTTTTTTTACCCTGCCCCTCCCCCGTCCGCCTCCATTCCTCGCAAACACCCTCTCCACAAACAGCCACCCTCTCCACACACACACACACACACACACTCCTTGACACCTACAGCAAAGCAACAGCTCACCCCACACAGAACCGCCTCCCCCATGCACAGGCATACTCTGCACAAGGGTGCATTCATTCACACACACGTACGCACACAGCCCCTTCCCCCCACCCCCTCACAAACAGGGAGTGATGCCTCGCATTCCCACAAAAGCACATTTCTCCTTCATTACACCCAAGGGGTCTCCTACCCTTCCCTCCCAGACACACATCCTTTTCATCCAAGTATGCTCACACCCAAACGCACTGACATACTTTTTCATTTTGCCCCCCATCTCCACACACGTGCACGCCCTCCACATGCTCAGATTTTCATCCCCACATTAATACACACGTCCTTACTTAACACCATCCCCAGGAGACTGACTGCACTCCGCATGCCCCCCCCACCCCGAAAGCCATGCTATCTCTTTTCACTAGCTCCTACTTAACACGGTGAATACATCCTGAAATGCGTTGGCGTCTAATAAATTCGGTGCCACTTGTTTTTAGTCCAAGCACAGGCCATGGAGAAACGAGCCAAAACAAGCCTTTAGGAAACCCTCCTTTCAGAAATCAATGCGACGAGGAGAGGTCACTCTACAAGTTTGCAAATAACAGGAATTGTTTGTTTTGCACAAAAGTTACACAAAAAAGGGCAGGGATTCAAAAAATAAAAGACTCAGAAGAAATCGGTTTTCCAAAGTTTCTTAGAAAGAAAAACTCAAGCTCGTGGTGCAAAATATCGGTGTATCTATATATAGTAAGTTTCCAAAGAAATTTGTGTCGCCCCCCCCCTTCTCTAGGAAAATGTAGCCATTGCTCTTCTTTAGACTAGACATTTCTAATTTGTTCCGTCTGTCAGAATGGGACTATGAGAGGTTTTGGTGCAAATTCATTATCTCTGGCAACGCATAACGTATAGTAGGAACTGAAAAAGACCGTGGCAATGGATGAACAATAGGGCTTCAGTTCATCAGCAACAAAAGCGTTGGGGAAATTGGTTGAATTTCAGAGCACGTCCTCCTCAGCAGAGAGGGCTGGACTAGACCTTGGCCAACCCCCCCAAAAAACTTGCAGAGCCTCACATACAACACTCCACTTTCTACTCTGGGGCTTAAGAAGCAATATGGAAAAAAACCCAAACTTTTATTTTTTTTTTCCTATTTTCTTTCCCATTTTTCTGGATGGAAGCTCTTTCTAACTGTTTTAGAATCAATCATGCAAGAATTATACCGTGGAGTTAAGCGGCAGTTTTAAATAGAGATGACGGAGGGGGATGATCTGAATTTCTGGAGACATGAAAGAACCCGCTTTCTATGCTTTGAGGGGGCTTGACCGTGGGGATCTTTGTTTTCTGCCGGAGACTCAACCGTAACCATCTAGATCTGGGGGTCAAATCTTTCTTTATAAGAAGAACAAATGTAAGTATCATGAGAGGATATGCAGAATCTGAATTCCTTATGAAATATAGAGTAAATTGAACTTCGTGCCACGTCAGAGTGCTAGCTGATTTAAGAAAGACGTAGATATGAACCTGAACTCGCTTAGTGTCTCTGTGTCAGGTTTAGGGATAGTGGCTGCTTCTTCTGGCCACAGACCGAACAGGTTGTCTTGAGAGCACTCCAATAAGTTGCACTGGTGCCTGGGAAGGAGATGGGATTAACAGGCAGAGGGATTTGAGTTAACAGCATGGCTTATATTGGTTCACTCATTTTGTACTTGTGATTCTAAACCTGTTGGTTTTACACGTAGTTAGATCTAGGAACTATTAATTATCAAATTGGTCGTAAGTGGAGGGCAATCATGTTTAACCACAAAGAGATAGCGGAGATTTAAAAAAAAAAAAAAAGCAACGCCAGGATGTTTTCTAAAGGTATATCAATCAGCACCAAAGACAATTCTTCAGAGTGTTTACAATTTACATGTTGCGACTAAATCCTGTTACCTCCAAATTTCCAGTCTTTTAAAATGTGATAATGAAAGCATTGATTTGATGATGTAAATGCGAAAAAAAAGTTATTCGATAGGGTTGGAGTCTGTATGTGGTGGGTAACTTCAACAGAGCAACCATCACTTCCTGGGTTGTCCAAAATGCAGCCTGATCAAAATACATATTATTTTATGCGGGATTGTCTTGTAAGTGTTGCATGAAATTGTTCCTGTACGGTTAGCACAGGCTAAAACTAGGATCCAAATCTGCACCTGTCTTGTAGCGTGCCTTTGCAGAGGAATGAGAAGCTGTAAGCTCAGGACAATCCATTTGCATTAGAGTATTTGCTTGGTTTCCCAGTGCTGGTGTAACTGTGGTTATTGAACAGGAAATGTCTACGAGGGTCTCTGCAGCAGCTGAATAGCTCCGAACTTGGATGAGTGTCCTAGCATGTCATGGCCACGGTCAGGGGCCCTTCCAGGAGCCGAAGGCTGTACTGCTGCTGCACAGGTTGCAGTTTAGGCCGAAGGTAGCGGGCTATACAGTCCACTGGCAAACTGTCTGCCCCCAGCCGCGGTACTAGTAATTAAAGCGCACACCCGGAATGGGAGCTCCGGTACAGAATGAACAGTAGGTTGCATAATTGAAGGCAGTGAACGTATGGAATAACGTCCATATCCCGCCCCTCTCCTCCCCCCCCCCAAAAAGAAACCCCCAATATGAATGAAACGAATAGGATCACTTAGCAAGAAATATATTTTATAGATTTGTTCATTTTTGCTAATTTGGTATTGATTTACCCGCTGTGATGCAAAGTTACGTGATATAGATTCTCTCACACAATTCCTTGTGCAGTTCTAATTCTGTATAGCAGTTTATGCCCTCTTAATGGTAGTGGTTTAGGAATTCAGTGTTTCGAAAGACCTGAAAATTCAGCCTTGAAAATACTGGCTTAATGTGTTTTGCATATTTTGAACTGAAGGCTAGGTGGAGCCTCCATCCTTTATTAAGAAACTGGAAGCTTACAGTATGCAAATATCAGATTTGTCTTTAGAGTTTTTAACCCCCCCCTCCCCTCAAATCCCTCCCCCCACACATTGAAAATCTTTAGATCCCTCCTTATCCCCCCCACCCAAGAACTTTGGCCATTCTCTCCCTATTATTTCCTTTAAATGTCAATTACTATATTTAACCCTACAAATACCAGCGTACACTACTTATACGTCTCATGGCATATTAGATCTCATCTGCTAGCGTTTTCACTATCCAATTCAGAATTTGGGGACTTCTTTTGATCTCAAATATCGATACGCACAGAGTTCTGTGAACATACATACGTGTGTCATATTTAAACACATTCCAGGTACAGGGGTCCTATACTAAGAGTGTTAACATTATGATCATTTGCTTTTTTTGGGCTATTTTTCAGATTTAGACTACGAAGACAGACTGCAAGAGATGACAAGCACCACAAGAAACGGTAATTTTAATTTTTAATAAAATTCAAACAACAGAATATTTGACATAAAAATAAAACACAAGTCTTTGCTCTTTAAAAGCCCATACAGTGTTTCCATTAATAATAACTGAATCATTTCTGCAATACTTTAAATGGATGTCTGTTAGGTATTCCTATGCACATTATATATCAGGCATAACAGAAACGTATCCTAAATGGCCTATAAAAAGAAATTCTGGACACAAAAAAATAATAGAGTGCTTTTATTAGAAAGCAAGCCAGTCAAGTGGATTTACATGGGCTATGCATATAGCTGTACTTAAATGATTTTTATACAAGATATTCTGGCCTGGACTGTAGTAGTGGACTATGGTTTACATCTATGTGAAATTAGATACAAGCCAAGTACGAAAAGGGGATTCCTGCAGTGACCTAATCTGCTATACACTCCATTACAGTATAAATAGGGTTGCTGTATGCCTTACTCTTGGCAACAAGGTGGGGAGACTGGCATTAGAACAAAATTCTGATCCTAAAAAGTAAAGATCCTAACCTTTCTACTTTAACATAAATAGAGACTGTTTATTCATAAGAAATTCATGCAGGATGTTTCTCCTTTACGTCACAGCCATCTGGAGACCTATAAAAAGATTAGAAAACAAGCATAGCAATCACATACTAATCTACAGGCCATTAATGGAAATTTATTAGAGAGTTAGTAGGCAAGAGTAACTGTTTGGACTCAGTATCTTCCAATATGCATATTATTTCTAAACTGGTACTCTAAATAAGTTTTCTATCATTAAGTAATTGAGAAATGTCTGAAAAGAAAACATGTAGGTGTTAACAGTTGCTCTTGACAATTTGGATTAAATATATGAAAGTAAGGTCAGAATTGCACAATGTCTTTAACTTTTCTCACATATTAAATAAGAATACAGTCACTGGGAATGCAGATGAACAATTGCTGTATAAATCTTTTTCAGTATTCAGAATAAGCAAGTACTTCTTTGCTAAACCTTACTGGACGTCGGTAGACTTCTTAGAACCCTACTAGATAACTGAGAGTTAGAAAATTTAATTGGTAATATGGCTAATGAACAGTGAGGTTATAATCGTCACGTTGGCTATTTTCACTTCCTAGGGCTCCAGTGATTAATCTGCAAAATGTGACAGGTGTATTAGTTACTTTTTGAATCAGTGTGGGGACAAGTGAGCCGGGCTTTAGAA